GGAGCTAAAAGGGACCTCAATGCTGTCCCAAGTAGGGTGAGATGACCATGCCTTTTATACTTCTACATTGATTAGTCATTGGAAGTGGGCTGCCCAAGGGAAGGCCATCCTTAGGTGTGCAGCTCTCTGCACTGGATAAAGTCCCTTTAGGGACCAAGTGCTGGAGGCCATCTGCAGACTACAGTCCCAGCAATTGGGCAGCAAGTCTCTCATTGAAAGGGACTGCTGCAAATATTAAAAAAAAATTAATGAAGTGTAATGCAAATGAAATAATCAGCTTTCAGAAGGTGAGAAAAAGGAATGCCAATGCTAGCTTAAGACAAGCTTCCAAGTCACTCTTCTTTAACCAAGGACACAGTGATGACTTGGTATGATCACCAAAAGTAGTAATGACTGATCCTAAGGGATGGAGAAAGGATCTGGTCAGGAAGGAAGGTAAAGTTTGCTAGCTTGCAGGAATAGGATCATTGTTCCTACTGTATGTTTTGTTATTGACTAGCCTAGCTAATCATTCAATAAAGATAATTTCTGTTTTAGAATTAATTCTGTTTCAGAAGGAAGAATTAATTGAAGCTATACCATTAAAATACCCTGAGGGAAAATGAACATGACATTTAAAAAAAAAGTAATGGATGTGAAAGCATCATATTATGTTCAAGTTCAAAACATATTCAAATGCACTCTAAATATGTAAGGTTATTATTTTTGTATAGCAACTATAGTATACTATATTGTAGAGAGAATCCTGAATTTGGAGTCAAATCATTACATCCTAGCTCCATGCAAAAAGAATTGAACTTATTTTAATTTAGCCAATATTTATTTATTCTAACTATATGGCAGATTCAGTGCTAGGAACAGATCTTGTTTTAAGTAATGGAGGTTCAAATGCTATTTATTACACTTGAGAAATTCTGGGCTAAAGGACAAATTGTCAAAGATTGACAATGGGTATCTAATCCCTCTGTTTTCAAAATGTGGAAAATATATCCATGTTTTAGAACCCTCAGCTTGATGTTAATTCTTTGATTTCTAGAATAGGTTATTATGGATGGTTTGTGAGTCTTCAGTTAAGGGGGTATGATCACTAAGAATTAGGAAAGGTTTCTAATAATAAGGTTAAATTTTATTTTTTCTTTCTGAGTGACTCCTAGGTCTGAGGAATGACATTTATATAGAATACCTTTATTCCATTTTTTATGATATACTGTGCGCAAAATGTCAAAATGTGAACTGAATGAGAATAGAATTTAACATATTTTTTAGCAAGCTTTGTAGTCACATATAACTCCCCATATTCTCATTTTATTCCATAGCTTGTGAAGTTCAAATTCTCCTTTAGAGATGGTCATGTTTCCACGGCTTCCTCTACTTTCTTAACTCCTGATTACACAGGTACTGTTCTTAGACTGTATCACAATGACCTGTAATGAATCTCAGTATCTCTTTGAGTTGTCCTAAAAGAATATTGTCTTACACAAAGTATGTATGAGGACTGCAGACTTGACTTAAGATTTCATAGAGCAGAAAGTGGTGATGTATCCCAGGAACAAAAATGATTTTGATGGTCACATTAAGCAGTGCTGATTTAAAAATATTAGTTGGGATTCCCCAATTTTGTAATTTACTGGCTTCTCAATTTAGCAGAATCATCATCTTTCTGACTTCTCATAGCTGCTTTCTCCATATTTTTTGTCCCATTCTTTTCTTCTCACCTTTTAAAAAACAAAATGAGAGCTTGGAGTGGCACACAGCTATAATTCCAGCTACTTGAGAGGCTAAGGCAGGAGGATCCTGAATTCAAGGCCAGCCACAGCAACATAGTGAGACATCTACTCAATTAAAAAAAATTCAAAATTACTAAATTCATCTTCCTGGATCTCCAGCGCAATTTCTTTCCATTCTTGAAGACTGAGCATCAGCTGGCATTAGGCTTCTGGGTGGGGTGGAAGGTGGAAAATGTACGATGTTTGCCTACCTCTATCCACAAAAGCTTATTAAGGCAGCTTCGCAAACAAAGGTATGCACATCTTTGCATACAATTACATCCTGGTAAGTAAAATTTTCTCAACCTCATCGTATGTAGATTTCTATCTGGTTGATCAGTAGGTATATGTAACTCTAGAGATTTATGGTGGATAAGTATGGGTTCTAGGTTCTAAATGTGACCCTGTCTTGCTAACTTCCCTAACAGGAACTTGGGTAAAAGTTGGGTAGGCAGCACATGAATTGATTGATATAATTAAAAAGATTGGACTAATAGTTCAAAATAAACACAATGAACTTTTTGTTTTTGCTTTTGTGGTGTTGGAGATTGAACTCAGGGCCTTGTACATGCTAAAAACAAAGTCTACCACTGAGTCATATCCTCTCATTACAGTGAAATTGAGTAGACATGTCTTACACTTAGATTCAAAAACTTGGATGGAGGTATAGCTCAGTGGTGGAGTGCTTGCCTAGCAAGGGTCTGGGTTCAATCTCCACCACTGGAAACAAACCAACAAACCAACAAAAATGCAAAACAAATGTATGAACACATAAAGATTAGGAAAGACATGGCTTGATGTTCAGTTTTATTTGTCAACTTGACTTCTCTACAGTCCCCAGTTATTCAAACACAGCAACTAATATTGTTATGAAGGTATTTTATAGATGTGATTAAAACCCACAATCAAAGGAAGATTATCGTAGATATTCTAGGTTGACCTAAATAAATTGATTCAATAAATTGCAAGGCCTTAAGAGTGGAACCAAGACTTCCCTGAAGGAAAAAAAAATTGTATTTCTAGGTAGTAATTTCAGTTTATGCCCAGGGTTCCACCCTACTTTTCCTGACAACCTGCCTTATAGATTTTGGACTTGTCTAGACAGCCCCCGTATTCTTGTAAACCAGCTCCTTAGAATAAACCCTTTAATATATATCTCCTAATGGTCTTTTTTTCCCTGGTTGAACCCTGACAGATATACTGTACACTGTCTTAGTTCTTCCTTTTTTTTCCCCCACAGTGAGATAGGGTCTTGATATACAGCCTATGCTGGCTTCAAATTTATAACCCACCAGTTTCAGCCTCCCAACTGCTGAGATTACAGATGTGTGTCACTATACCTAGCTTGGCTTAGTACTCTTAAGTGAGAAAAGGTTTTAATTTGCTATGAACTCATTATGCCATGTCACTGTGAGTTGGTGTTACAAACAACTCCCTCTCTCCTGCCCTTCTCCCTCTTTCTTTCTTTCCTTCTCTTCCTTCCTTCCTTTCTCCCTCCTTCCTTCTTCTCTCTCCCTCCTTTCCTTTTTCCCTTTCCTTTTCCTCTCTCCCTTTCCTCCTTCTTTCCCTTCCTCCCTTTTTTCCCTCCCTCCCTTCCTTCCTTCTTACTGTTCTTTGCTTCCTCCCTTCTCTCCTTTCCTCTTGTCCTTCTCTCCCTCCCTTCTATCCTACCTTCTTTTTTACCTTCCTTTTTTCTTCCCTCCCTCCCTCCCTTTCTCCTTCCTTCCTTCTTTCCTTCTTTCCTTCCTCCTTTTTTTAGACAGGGTTTTGCTTTGTAGTCCAGGCTGGTCTCAAACTTGTCATCCTCCTACCTTAAGCAAGAAAATGCTGGGATTACCACTGCATCTGGCAATTTTTAAAAATACCATTAATCTACTTTTTTTTTGACAGTCAGTGTCTGACTGTGAAGCCCACGTTATCCTCAAACTCTCAAGTCTCCTGTCTCAGCCTCCTGAATACTGAAATTATAGGATTGTCATCCTACTTTTGTAAGAGGCATATAGCATAGTGGCTAAGAGCTAGAGGACTTTGGCATCAGACCTTCTAAGTTCAAATCCCAGTTTTTCTATGAAATAGTTTTGTGATGCTAAGCAAATTACCTTATTTTTCTGTGCTTCTTGGTTCACTTCTATAAAATGGAGACATTAGTAAACTATCTTAGGTTGGATAAAGCACTTAAATCACTGTAGAAAATGATCAACTCGAATTAATTTATTACTGTTCTTAGGCATAACATAACCATTTCCATGTAAGAGAAAAGGATCTCATAAGGATGACCTTATTTACTCTTTTCCCAAAGGAATCTCTCTGAAACAAACTCTACCTACTTTATTTGCCAAGCTAATAAGTAAGTGCTTTTCATGTCTTTTACCAACCTATTCACCATTGTTCACAGCACACCAAGTACTTGCAGCTAGGGCAATACTCTTCAGTACAAGTGTGCATTCTGTTCTTGCCCCTTGTGTGCTTACAAAAAGTTGTAAGTATTTGTTCCCAAGTCTGTTTATACCAGTTGAACTGTTGTTATAATTACAAAATTTGAACAATATGTAAACTGATTAAATGTAAGTACAGAAATTATATGAGTGTATTTATGTAAAGTAATTGAAATACTGTGGAAAATTTGGTAATGATCAGCCACTAAAAATGATCTAATTGTCAGTGAGGCATCTTTAAAGGACTTGGGGGAAAGTGCAAATATCTGGAGAATTCTGCACAAGACTGCTCCAAATGTCTTTAGATCTTCATTGCATTAGAAGCCTGAAATGGAAAGCATAGATGAGGCAATTTGGATGTGGTTTATGCTGTAAAGGCTAATCAGTAGAACTATGCTAAGGCAGGTGATATTTTTATGTCAAAAAATTGTCAGATAATTGTTTTAAACTAGTTAATTATATTTTTCTAGAATCTTCTTATGTGTAGAGAAATCTAACTACCAATCAGTTGAATTTGTTAATAACAAAGGTATGCTACATCAATTTTCATTTTCTTTAAAGCATGAGGGTTCTATCAGTAGAATAGCTGATAAATGTTTTTACCACATAATTTTAGAGATTTTCCCCCCTGTGACATGTAATTATCAACCTTGTTTATTATTATTACTCTAAATTCTGAATCCATGACAGAGGGCAGAGATAACAAACATGATGCTTTTGCATGTATAACGGTCTCTAAAATTTGATTTTAGATGACTCAGTTGTTTTAAATGTACATGTGAGAAGATAGTCTACTTACAATGATTTTTACTTCTCTTCAGGAGATCTTTATTTTCAATTCCTTTTATTTTAAATTTATGTTGGTTTTTCTTTTTTTCTAAGAGACTTTCTCTTCTATCAGTTAATTTACTCAATTTTCTTTGTTCCAGTATATGTGATAAGATTTGTTTGACTTTGTTCACTGGTACCTATAAAGAAAAAGAGTTTTGTTCATTTCATTCATGTGTAACTCTTTTTGAATGAAGCAAGAAGAAAGTGAAAAAAATTCACCTGTTTAAGGTAAAAATTCAAGTTTAATGCAATTACTCTAATTTTTGCTTTGTTCATATCAGAATAACATATGTCTTAGTTTACTTTTAGGAATCCATATGTTCTATGAATAAAATCCTTTTAAACCTACTACATTGTCATTGGAAGTGTAAAGCCAAGTATTAAAAGTTCAATGTTCTAAATAAAAGAGCAAGAGAATTTAAACAATTTATTCTTCCAATGGCAAGATGTCATGGTAATATCAATTGTGTGAGCTAAAAAAATAAAGATGTTGATATTGTCTTAAAATTACAACAAATTTGTAATGAGTTGTGATGATTAAAAGTGTAAAAACATGTTTTCCCAAAGTATTTTTCAGAAGTTATATAATTAACCTATTTTAATTAAGGTGATGAGTTTGATGGGTTGTTTTTGAGTAATGGAAAAAAAATGCAAAAAGGCTAGGTTCAGACCTGTAATCTCAGTTACTCAGGAGGCATAAGAAAAGGATTGTGGTCCATTCCAGGCCTTCCTGGACAAAACACAAGATCCTACCCCCAAAAATAATTAAAACAAAAAGGACTGAGTGTATGGCTCAAGTGGTAGAGTCCCTACTTAGTAAGCATAAGGTCCTGAGTTCAAATCCTAGTACCATCAAAGAAAGAAAGAAAAGAAAAGAAAGCAATTTTTAAGAGAAAATTAAAAAGCCTTATGGAGGTAAATATTCATGATTTACATATATACTTTTCAGAATAAATTATATTAGAAAGTTAAAATTTTTTTCTTTGTCAATTAGTACTTCTAAAAAGAGTCAAGAAGTTTTCATTTGTTGGGTTTTTTTTCCTTCCTTTTTTTCTCCCAGTACCACAATTTAAACTCCTGCTAAATTTCACTTTCTGGAGTGCCTGAATCTTTTTTATGTGGTAGCTAAGACCACAGAGCAATGAGTGATTCAGGCCAGAATGTGCAGAGACATGTAGCCATGTCTTTTAAAAACAGATTTATTCACATATAATTCACATACCATAACTTAACCCATTTAAAGTGTATAATTCAAAGCTTTCTGTAATAGTCATAGATATGTGCACCCATCATCACAGTCAATTTTCGAACAGCTTATTATGTCAAGAAGAAATCACAGATCCTTTAGCTATTGCCCTCTCTATTCCCCCATCCTTCTTACCATCAGCCCTAAGCAACCACCAATCTATGTTGTCTCTATAGATTTCTCTATTATGAACTTTCGTATGCATGGAACCACATAGTATGTTTCTTTCTTTTTTCATTTAGGATTTTCCCAAGGTTAATCCTTATTGTAGCTTGTATGATGGATTCCATTACTTTTTTGGGGGGGGTACTGGGGTTTGAACTCAGGGCTTACACTTTGAGTCACTCTACCAGCCCTATTTTTGTGAAGGCTTTTCTCGTGAACTATTTGCCAGGGGTGGCTTTGAACTGCGACCTCCTGATCTCTGCCTCCTGAGTAACTAGGATTACAGGCGTGAGCCACTGGCACTTGGCATAATATTCTTTATATGTATAAGCCATATTTTATTTATCCATTCATCAAACAATACACATTTGGATTTTTTTCCACCTTTGAATAGTGCTGTTGTAAACATCCACATACAAGTTTCTATGTGAACATGTAAGGTCTTTGTGATTCTTCTTACTGCAGAGAGGATAGATTTTGCAAATAAAAATATAAGAAGTCCAGTTAAACTTGAATTTCAGATAAGATTTTTTTTTAGTAAATATGTCCCAAATATTGCATATTAATAAATAAAACCACAATCTATAATGTCTTAAAATCAACAGATGGATGTAAAAGTCAATTGTGGCTCTACTGCATGCTGTAATTCAGGGACCCAGGCAGATAAATGCTCTGCCAACATCAAGATGGGAATTCAGGGTGTTCCTGAGCCTCAGTCTCTTAGCAGACAAAAAGGGAAAGAACACAGAGTTCATATGCAGAAAAGGGTTTTATTTTTCATTTGTTTCATTTAGTTGCTTTCTTTAGTAGATTAGACCTGGAAATGCTACCTCCACTTCCAGTCACTTTCCACAGAATGAAACTCAGTCACAAGGCCCCACCTAGCTGCAAGGGGGAGGAGAGAGAGCTGGGGAACATAATCTAGGTATCAGGAAGAAGAAAACAGGAACTTTGATGAACCTTCTGCCTTCTCTGTTGTAATGGGATCATCATATGTTATTGCCACTAAAAGACTGGCATTTAAACTTTCAATTCAAAAACAACCAGCATCTAAGTTGAGGAGGCAGGATGAGCTTGGCAAAAATGCCAGTGGTTGTGTGATGTCTCTCCCCCTTTTTTCTACAGAGGCCAATGTTTCTAGGCTAGTTTTTTCTCTTGCCCATGGGGAGTGGGCAGAACAGTGAGCTAGAACAAGTATAAGGGAGCATTGGAAGCGAGAGGCTTTATCTGACTCTCAAAAGCTTCCAAAGATTAATAATTCAAAAAGAAATAAACATGTATTGAGCATCTATCTCAGGCCCTGTTCTAAGAGCTAGGCATACAACCATGAATAAATACCCTCTGCCCTCATGAAGATGATTTTTCTGGTGGGGAAGATAATAGTCAACTGATAAAATGAGGCTTTTAAAAAAAGGTTAAGGAGATGGAAGTGATGTAAGTGAAGGTTATTTGATGTAGGGTGGTTAGTGAGAAGCTCTCACAATATTTGAGTAGACTCCCATGGGACAGGGAGGAGCTTGTTATGCAGACAGCTCAGGAAAGAGCTGTGGCAGAGGGAACAGCAAATGCAAAGGCCCTTAAGCAGAAGCCCAAAGGTGTGCAAGGAGGATGGGACAGATGCTGCAGAGCAAGTGAGTAGGAAGCAATGAGGTGACTCTGAGGCCAGGCTCTGGGTTGTGATCATGTTCTATGTGAACCTGAGACCTGTGGAGGGTCACCTGAGGAGTGGTCATATTGACAAAGTTTAATTTCAAAGGATCACTTTGGCTGCTGTGTGGGAAATATTATATGTTGGAGAAAGAGTGGGAAAAAGAAGAAGTTAATTCAAATAAACCAGGTGAGCATTGGTGATGATGGTGATGTAAAGAGATTGTGGAGGGAGAAGTAGTGATAGTGTTGATTTCTGGATATATTTAAAAAATGTTGTGGTCAGTATTTTCCATTGAAGGACTTATAATGTGTATTTTACTTTGTAAACAGCAAACCTAAATGTGTTTTTGCCTATGCTTTTGGAGGCCTGTTTTTAAACTACCAAGGCTTGTAGTGATTGAAGCCATATTGCAATATAGTGTTTTACCTCTTCACTTGCCTGGCTGCCATTCCCCCCGACCCTCACCTGCATCTTGAAGATTCATGTTTGATGAATTTTTCTTAAGTGTCCCTTTGAGATTGGACTATGAGCACATGATAAAAGCAAGAGCACACAAGGGAGGGGTGAGGATAGGTAAGACACCTAAAAAACTAGCTAGCATTCGTTGCCCTTAATGCAGAGAAACTAAAGCAGATACCTTAAAGCAACTGAGGCCAATAGGAAAAGGGGACCAGGAACTAGAGAAAAGGTTAGATCAAAAAGAATTAACCTAGAAGGTAACACCCACGCACAGGAAATCAATGTGAGTCAATGCCCTGTATAGCTATCCTTATCTCAACCAGCAAAACCCCTTGTTCCTTCCTATTATTGCTTATACTCTCTCTACAACAAAATTAGAGATAAGGGCAAAATAGTTTCTGCTGGGTATTGAGGGGGGGAGCGGGAGGGGGTGGAGTGGGTGGTAAGGGAGGGGGTGGGGGCAGGGGGGAGAAATGAACCAAGCCTTGTATGCACATATGAATAATAAAAGAAAAATGAAAAAAAAAAAAAAGTGTCCCTTTGAAAATGACACTGCCCAACTTAGAGCCCACAGTTCTCAGTGACAACCGGATAAAAAAAATCAAACTTCTTTGCACAGAAGCTAAGATTCTTCACTGTCTGCCTTAAAAATGTCTCTGAGACTTTATGTCTTATCACTCCCACTTCTACCTGAACATTGCTGGCAGCTAGACTCTTGTGCTCACTCAATACTATGATGTCTTTCCTACTTTCTTGCCTTTTCATACCAGCTTTCATTGCCACCTCTTACCTAGCAGGCCAAACATTGCTCCTGTTTCAAGGGCCAATTCAAGTTCCTTCTCCCAACCCCTACCTTATTCCTGGACAATAGCCATCTCCTTTTTTTTTTTTTCTGAACTTGTAGTTGTTTTCCTTCTTTGTTAGCAATAGCTAAGTGTTCTACAGTCTCTAAAGTGATAACATTTTACAACATAAACATCAAGCTTTATCTTCTCGATTCATTAAATACACTTCATAAACCTTTTAGCATATTTCTCATTTGAAGTAGAGTGCCTTGACTAGAGGGGAGACTAGTGAATGTGTGGATTTCTTAGGAAAATTCCTTGGTCACTTATAGTACAATAATGGTAGGAACATCCTCTGTCATAAGAAACTAAAATATCGTGAACTTTCAGAAAAGAAGGTTGTAATTGATCTCAGTGTACATTTTTTAATAGGATTCACTGTAGCCTTTATTTATACAAGATAAAAATTATTAACATTGTAAGTGTTCAGCAACAGAGTCATTTGTGGGAAAACATGAAAAAACTCTATAGCTATCAAAGTTGATATACATTTAATCCTAATTTATTTGTGATTGTAAGGAAAGTGGTTATTAAACTAAGGATAGGATACTCCCTTATTGAGAAGAAGTTAGCCACAGTTTATATCATTTTGCTAGCATCTAAGGCCATTACTGGCATTGCTCCTGTGACAGTGTGCATGACCTACCCTATACGGGGGTGGTGTCACCTGTGAGCAGACATGTAGGCTGGGGCGAAGCAGACACTGTGATGGGGAGACAAGCTTTGCCCTGGGGATGGGGGAGCTGACCAAACTAAGGATGGGGAAGAAAG